CATATTAGGCCATAATTATTCTTTTCCCTGCTACCCTCACCCTAAAACTCTTGGTATGATAAGGACTCATGGCTCCAGACCAAAGAGAAAGCTTATAGCAAGAGGTGTGGTCAGGGGACAAGGCAGAGGACCACGAGAACGGACAACACAGAGTCATTCACTCTGTGCACATTCATTGAGCGCCTGCCAGGGGCAGGTCCCCTGGGAATGCAGCAGGCCATCAGGCATACTCGTTCCCCTTGGCCCAGCTCTGCAGTACACACACACACACACACACACACACACACACACACATGCACGTGCGCGCACGACTGCATTTGCCTCCTCCCTCCACCTCCACCCCACCCTAGCACCATTGAACAGAAGTTACCCACACTCTGAAATAGCCTCCTCACTGGGAGGGACCTCGGGGACCTCAAGTCCAATGGCAGCCTAATGCAAACAGGGCACTCAGGGCCCAGAGAGCTCATGCCCCAAGGAGGAACAAGGACCAGAACAGAAGCAGAGGCTTCTTTCATTTCCACCCTCTCTCTCCCAGTGGCTCCCTGCTTGGATATGAGAAACCTCATTCAAGGCTTTGGGGAAGGGGAGGCAGACCCCCTGGTTCTACAGATTAATGCAGGAGACAGGGAGCCCACCCCAGCTCGGCCCCCAGCACCCCACCTGTTGGCTTGCTGGCCTGCTGCCGACAGGGAGCCCACCCCAGCTCGGCCCCCAGCTCCCCACCTGTTTTTTTGCTGGCCTGCTGCTACTCTGGGCAGGCAGAACATTTTCACTTCTGGTCCCCAAGTGTGAAAACTCACCAGGCCACTGGCTTCCTGTTTTGTACCAGATCTGCTCAAATATCACTGTTTCTAGATGGGTTTTGATCACTAAGCAGTTTTTAAAAATATAATAATGATACTCCCATCTGTTCCCACTTTGAGTTTCTCAGACTTCTGGAGCAGAGAGAGAGACATCATTGACTCCGGCTTCCTGGCTCCTGTCACCTGGTCCCCTCCACTGCCCCTGGCATGGAGCAAGTTCAATAAGATTTGAAGAAGAAACTGCAGGAGAGAAGAGCCCCCTCCTCACCTGCCCAGCCCCGTCATGGCTTTCATAACCCCACAGGTTACCCCTGAGATAGAAAAAGTCACACCCACGTGGGCTCTATGTCCAGAAAGGTCACTTTCTGTGATCATGAGCACAAGGTCAGACAAGGTCAAGGACAGAGAGGAGATGAAAGGGTTTGGTTTTCAGAGGTCCCAGAATTAGATCAGGGATGAAACAGTGTCCAAGATGGCCTTGAAGAGACAGAGGTAACATGAAATTCAGCTGATTTCCTGCGAAGTCCCTGACTATGACCGGAGCCGTTCAAGGCCCCACATAGAACTCAGAAGAGATTATAAAAACCCAATTCTACCTGCAGCAAGTCCCCATCGAACAGGAGAGAGCAAGGTTGATCTCAAGAGGAACTGGAACCCCTTGGTGCCTAGCCCGGCTCCTGGAGTATGATGGAAGACGCATGAATGAAGGAACGCAAGGACAGCGTCAATAATTAAGTTATGGAGGACAGGTAGTATTTGTCATTAAATCAGAAGAGGACAATATCCAGAGGTCCTAAAGAAGGCTCCGTGAAGAAGAGATGTTTTAACTGTCATAAATGGCAGAATTTGGGAACCAGCAGTTAGCATAATGACTATGTCGCTGGACTCCCACGTAGTCGACCGCGGTTCACATCCCGGACCTGGTGGCTTAAAACTCACGCCGGGCGCGTGTGTGTGCATGCCCAAGATCCCGAGAGGAGAATGGAGGAGAAGGGATTGCGGCGTGACCATCCCCTCTGGGGGGTGTTTTCTTGCTTTCTGTCTCTATGTCTCTCTGTCTGTCTGGCGAGCGCATGCGCTCTATAGCAAAAACCTCTCCAAAAAAAAAGGCAGATTTTGATCATTTGGAGGCCAAGATGGGGGGGTGGGGAGCAGGGGTGTAAAAAATAAAAGGAGGAGGGGACCAGCAGATGGTGTAATCCCAGATCTAGCAGCTTAAAATTCACGCCCAGGCATGTATGTGTGCGTGCCCAAACTCTCTAGACAAGAATGGAGAAGGGTTTGTGCCAGGGTCATTCCTCCTGGGAGATGATTTCTCACTTTGTATCTCTCTGTCTCTCTGGTGAGTACACACACCCTCTGACAAAAAAAAATCTCTCTGAAAAAGTAAAATAAATAAAAGAAAGAATAAAGAGTGGATCAGAGGGACCAGTAGTTTGCATAATGGCTATGTTGCTGGACTCTCAATTAGTAGACCAAAGTTTGAGTCCCGGACCCGGTGGCTTAAATTCACGTGTGTGCCCAAGATCCTGAGAGGAGAATAGAGGAGAAGGGATTGTGGTGTGGCCATTTCCCCTGGGGGGGAATTCCCCTGAGGGGTTATTTCTCACTTTCTGTCTCTCTGTCTGTCTTTCTGGTGAGCACATGCGCCCTATAGAAAAAAATCAAAAAAAAAAAGAATGGATCAGAGAGATGCTCAAAGCTCAAAGCTGAGGGTGAGGCCTAGGAAGGTCTGGGCTTCTGAGATCCCTTCTCGACACACCAAGGATGCAGAATGGTTCAGCCTTGAACCTTGGTCAAACATATGCAGAGTCAAATAAAGGCTGCATGATAATTTAGAATCCCAGATCGTAGGAGTCTAGAGGAACTGCAGCAATCACCTTTCAACTGTCCCCTCCTAAATTAGAGAGGTGAAACTACACTTCATACTTGCAGCTTTTCATTGTTTATTGAGCACCTGCTATGTGCCAGGCCTTATGTTAAACACTCAGAAAACAGAAACTTAAAAACAAACAAACAAAAAATTATATGTATATACACACATACCAGGAGCCAGGAGGAGCCTTGGAGAAGTCCAGTCTTTTAGTTTCCAGATGCTGAAATTGAGGCACAGAGAGCTGGAGGGACTAGCCCATGCCACAGAGCATGGCAAGGGAGGCATCGGAACCAGGCCTCCCTACAGTATTCAGGCCTCACCCAGCTAAGCCATGAGGTCAGGCTCCGTTGTTCAAGCTCCAGTGTGGAAAGTGGCCAGAGTGGAGCATTGGGCACAGCAGGCCACCTCTCCGGGCCTCAGTCTTCTCATAAGTAAAATGGGGCAATAATGATCCCCATGAACAGGGTTGCCCCAGGCTCCTATGCAATAACATGCAGGGAAACACTCTGTCCCCTGGGCTGTGCAAACCACGTCTGCTTCTCCTCAGGCCACCAGGGCATCTTTTTCTAGGCCACACGGGTGTTCCTTCTCTACTCACAGCCTTGCTGGGGCACTTCCTGCATGTGCCAGTCTCAGGCCTCACTGAAGACCTGTGGGACATGACCTTGCCCTCAAAGGGGTCAGCCTGGCTGGGGAACAGGCAAATGGCGGAGACGCGGCCATCTACAATGGGGAACAAAGGGAGCCATGTCGAGTCTCAGGTCTTGGGCGAAGCCACAGGGAAGAAGGGATGTGACCCACATTGTGGAGACTGAAGAGGGCACCCGAGGCTGGAGAACAGCCCTGGCAAAGGCACCAGAGCGGAACAGAGTGATAGAGGACCTGGGAGTGGCTCGTCCATGGCACTGCTGGCTCCTGCCGCCTGGCTCTTAGGGCCATAGAATAAAGAATGGTTAAGAGCAAGGAGGGGGTTACTGGGGGGCCCTGGCATGGCCGTGGGCCTGGCTGCCACCCAGGGCCCAGCCAACCAGACCTACAACCGGACTTCTAGGCATCTGGTCCCTAATCGTTTCTGAACGAACTGGAATCTGTCACTTCAAAGTCCTCAACAGAAACACGGAGAGTCCTAGGGTGGGGCCTGGGGCCCCAGAGTGAGAAAGCTGGGGAGCCCACGGCCTGCGGAAGTAAGGAAAACAACGGGGAGACAGCAGGACAGGGAGCGCGTCAGAGGGCCCTGAAAGAGGAAGCAGCCCAGTCTCGGTTCCCCTCCCGAGGATGGGAAATACCCTGCATTCTCCCGGCCCTGGGCGGCTGCCCTTGTCTCCTCACCTGAGGCCACCAGACTTGGGCCCGGGCCCACCTGGGCTCATAGCCCCACTCCCCTTTCACGTTTGCCCAAGGACATTGATCTCTGGAACTTCCAGTGGCCTAGGGCAGCCCCTCATGGACCACAGACCCAGGGTCCACTTTGAGCAAGGCACAATTGAGAGTTTTATGGGGACACTCCATGGTGAAAAAAAGGGGTCCAGCCATCAGAATGAATTCTAAGGAAGAAGGAAGCCAAAGTCAACCCATCTTACATCCTGCTTCCATTTCTCCCAAGAGGTCTTCCAGGAAGGGAGGGCACCCAAACCATGAAGGGCTCTTCCCCGCTCCCACCTACTCCGGGGTAGAAGACTCAGTTAAAGACCTCTAAATCCAGAGACTTGGCTTATTAAATTGGAGGCCGTGTATACTGGGAGAAAGGCCCCCAGGCCCTGGCAGGAAATGAGGAGCAAGAACTGGTAAGGACCCTCCACCCTTCTTCTCAATCTGCTAAAACCCAAAGCAAGAACGAAGCAAGGTCTGGGTACGAAGCTAGGAAGACAAGCCAAGGACTTCTCTCTTCTCCCCATGGCTGTCCTTGCTCCTGCTCTGCTGGCCTGCCACTGGGATACTGGCAGCTTGAACTGCAGGTCCCAGCAGTGGAGACCCCGGCCTGCCCCAGGAACTCGGTCCCTTACGTGGAGCACCTCTGCCTTAGCGCCCATTAAGCTGATGGCAGAGTGTAAGCTCCATCTATAGCCTAGGTGCCCTGGCCGGAGGAAGCAGTGGGGGGCCCCTGGGCAGGTCCTTCTGCCAGCCACCAAGCTACAGGCCATTTCTGACTTCCTTCGTGCCTTACCTGGCTCACTCAGCTTCCTGGGCTCCTCTCCCCATGCCCACCACCTGGCGCACCTCCACCTCCCAGGCTGTGCACAGAAGCCACAGAGCACCGTGAGGGCTGCCCCCACCGCCGTGGCCCACCGCATCACAGGAGGCAACGAGGACATGTTTCTAGAATGCTCTCAATGCTGCTCATGGACACTGGGAGCTGATGGTGTCCGGGAGGACCTGAGGCCTGTCAGCAGGAGGGAGGACAGGTCCAGGTGGGGCACAGGGGTGAGGTGGGAAGCACGCAGTGCAGATCTGCAAGTTCAAAGGGCCAGAATCAAGCCCAGTGGGGGCAGGGCAGAGTAAAGCCAAGCTCAGTCTTCAGGGAAGTGGGCCTCTGGTGGGAAGGTCAGAAACCAGGTCCGGAATCACGTGTGTTTCCATATAACTTGGCCCGTGCTGGACACAATTGGCTTTCCAGCCCCTGGTGGTGGCCCTACAAGGGGAAGTGGTGGGGTGGTGGGGGGCAGGGGGATGCCCCATGAAAATATCCCCACTGGAGTCCAAGGGCCTTGCCTCTCCAGGCTAGCTCTCCAGGGCACCAGCCTCCTGCAGGCCCATGGGCCTCCCGGGGTCCAGTCCTTTCTCCTTGGGTCATGGCCGCCTCTTGAGCTGCTGTGCTGCCCCGGCAGACTTGTCCCCAGAGACCCAACTCTCCCTGGGCCTCTTATGCCACAGGCTGGTGGAGTAGCAGGAGAAATCAGGGACCTCGCCAGCCTTTGAAAGCCCAGGAGAATGAGGGCAGCCCTGGGAAGCCAGGAGGACAGACGCTGAGCCAGCAGCCTCTTCCTGCAGACAGAGAAAAGGGAGGCTGAAAAGAGACAAATTTGGGAAGAATTCCTCTAAATCATCTCATCTGGCCAGGCTTCTCACTGAGGAGGGAGACAGAAGGAGAGACACGCAGAAGTTGGTTGTCGGGGTGAGCGAGAAGCTAGGGTTTGGGTGGGGTGGCTGGGTCGGGGAAACATTCGGAGAGGGAAAAGCAACTGAGATGTGGGGGAGGCTGGGCCTTAAGGCAGGGCAGAGACGGTGAGGCCAGAGTGAGCAACCGGGAAGCCAGGAAGGCTCCTGGGCTTGGAAAGTCCAGAGACCACAGCTCTAGGGTGATGCTTCCTGGAGGAACTGGCTACCGGAAACTGTCTCTGGGAACAGGTTGAGGTGAAAAGCTCTTCTGTAGAGCTTCTGTTCTTCTCCCATATAGAAGGAGACCCTCCCCAGGAAGTACAGCAGGGGTGGATCGGGTGGACAAGTGGAAATGGAGCAGGCCCGGTGCTGGAAGAAAGTGGGACATGACCTCAGGTTTCCATTCTTGAGACCTTCACCAGAAGGCAGGAGATGAGCCAAATTTGGGTTTGAGTAGTCCCTGGCACGAGGCTTGGGTGCCGGACCCCTCTTAGGGCTGTATTTGCACGTTAGACTCACTTAGGAGCTCTCCGACCTTCCCACTCACCTCTCCGGGCTCCAGCAGCCGATGTGCCTCCCCATCAGACTAACCCATTGGAGAACTTCATGTAGCCGCCATCTGGACTGCCGATATGGCCACTGATGGTGAAGGGCGGCCCCACCTCCAGATCCTTCATGTTCCTAAGAAAGATCAAGGCTGAGAACCTCACCTTTGCCTGGGACCCATCTCCCTAGACAAGGGCACAGCAAGAGATTCCAGCCATGGGGGAATCTCTGGGTCACTGGCTGATCTTCCAGAGCAGGACTCACCCCACGTCCCTGGGCCAGGGGAGGAGCAGCCTGCCCTGTGATGGGGAGTAGACCAGATGACTTACCCAGGACTTTCTGACCCTTATCCCTGGGTTCCTGATTTCTTCATTTGCTCTTCTTTGACTATGCCTGGGGTCACTTATAATTAAGCCTGTCTCCAGCATTGAACGTGAAATGCTTGAAACCAGAGACTCTACTCAGCTGTCTTTGTGCCCTTAGAAGGGAATCCCACAATCCTGGCTACAATAAACATTTCTGAAGAAAGGATGCAGGGATGGATGATGGGTGGACCAAGGAAGGGTGTGTGTGGGAGGGGGTGAGTGGATATTTCCTGCCTAAGAGGGAATGTTAAGAAGGTCATTGTCATCACAGTCTTCCATGGCCCCATCTGTATTCCAGTTTTCCTTCATGGCATTTTCTAAATGGACTCAGGTCCTTCTTGTTTACTTAGACATATGGAAAGAAGATAGGGAAGGGAAGCAGCACGTGCCAGCTCCATCTCCGATTCCTCCTCCATCATCCCAAACCCCCACCACTCCCCGCCACACCCAGACCTTCCCTGGATTTACTCACCGGATTTGGTACAAGTTGAAGACAAAATTGGGCCCTAGGAAGACAATCCAAAATGAGGGGGTTAGCACCTCCAGGGAAAACCACCCACCACCCTTCTGTGACATGTGGTATCCTTCACTGCTGTCTGGAGAAGTCAGGTGGCTGGGCTGGAACTTGGGCTGCTCTGGGAGGATCCCAAGCTCCTTCAGGGACTTCTCATGAAGGGCCCTGACTTGAGAAAGGAGGCAGTCCTAGCCTGGAGTCCAAAAGAACCAGACTTCACCACTTTCCAACTATGTAGCCCATGTCCTCATAGATAGGAAAAGGAGGCTAGACTTTCTTCCTTGGTGGAATGTCAAAGCAATCATAGTAGATGAAAGTACATGGGCACATAGTAGGTGCTAGCAAATACTCCGGTAACTGCCAACGTGAGCTACAGATCTAGGGACTGTCTTCACGTCTCGGCACTCCAGCGCACCCATACAGATCCCCCGGGGTCCTGTGGAAAGTACAGACACATCTCCGAGGTGAGAATCCCACAGTGAGCTCCAGAAGCCTCCCAGTGCAGCAGAAACACCAGGACGCTCGAGAGAGGGCCCTGAGACCCACAGACAAGTTCGGAGATGCACAGGAATGTGACTGGGACCACCTGGGGCTGGGCCTGTCTTGGCTGTTGCCCTTGGCCCTGGAGTGTGGGGGGGCGGGGGATCCATGCAGGCCCCTGGGATGCACTCTTGTAGGTCTAAGGGGAGTGGAAGCTGGCTGCTTACCAGGGAGGGAGGAGCCCAATTCGTGCAATAAAGACCCCACTGCTCCACCCCTGCTTCAACTGTTCAGTCACCACTCAAGTCTTCAACCCCCCACCCCCACCACCACCACAGGAAATATTTGTGTCCCACTGTGCTGAAGGGTTTGCAGCTCCTCCTGGCCTTGCCCACTGCTATGAGAGGAGGGGCTGGGGAGAGCTGGGGTGACAGGACCCTGCAACTCACTCACCCTCCCAGCAGTACCCACGCTGGTACCACTTGGCCAGACTATAGCCAAGGATGGACACGAGCAGCAGTGACAGTCCCACGCCGAGGATCAGGCCCAAGGTGCCGATGGAGTCCTCACCTGTGGAGACACGACATCCTCGAGCCCTCTGACAGCACCCCTGCCCAGCGGGCCTGCACCTGCTCCAGCTCCGAGGCCTCTCCTCCCTCCCCACTGCCCACTGAAAGGACTGTCCCCGGGGAGTCGTGGTCTGAGCTGGCTGGTTCAGCCCAGCTGTGCTGAGATGGGACTGTCTGGCACCTGAAGTTTTAGAGTGAGCCCACCCTACACTGGGAGCTTGTTCAGTCAAAGCAGTAGTCCTCTGATTACAGGCCTGGTTTGCAGCCGGAAGCCTTGCTGAATTCTCAGGCATTCTGCTGGCTGGGAAAAGCACTGACCACTTGGGGAAGAGCCCAGGTGTTCCAGTCTCACCACAGCCCCAGTGGTCAGAAGGGACAGCCTGGAGAGTCCCAAGAGCTCAGACTCCAAGAGCCTCGGGCCCCTCCCGCTTTGCAAAGCTGGGGAGCAGAGTGTTAACCTCTGGGCCCTGTTTTCTGCTTGTCCTTACCACTTCTTCCCCTTCTGTGGTGTAAGCGCTTAGCTAAATTTATAAGTTATTTGTAAACCAAACTGAGAAAGAGAGAGAGATTGGAGACCCACAGGGAGCCGACACGAGCCAGAAGCAGAACCAGAGAGGCAGTCAGTTCTGTGGAAGAGGCTTGTGGTGGGAGTGCCCTAAGGCCCACCCACCTCTGCCAGGGCGGGCGGGGAAGAGAAGCCAGGAGGCTGAGGACTGTAGGAGAACAGGATGGTTCCGCATCGCCATGGCTGAGGGCCTAAGGCTCCTGGGGTGTTGCCAAAAGGCCAGGAAGTGCAGTGGGTGGGAACCGACTTTGGGTGCAGCCTGGCATGCAAAGCCCAGCTCCATGTCTCGCAAACTGTGGGAGCCACGCGAGACTGGAAGCCACGTGAAGAGGGCAACGCTTGCTATGCTTCCAATGCTCTTATGGAAAATGAGGTTAATAAATAGAGTTGGTGCGACAGTTCATGGTGATGCCACAGAGAGCACTGTTGTTGTCATTGTTATTCTCAGTGTGATTGGGGACCAGTCTCCCAGCGGTAATGCCATCGGACCCCGGTTTCCATCTCAGGGCTTCTCTGTCCACGGAAGGAACCCACACACACACCACGATGCAGGCTGGCCGAGGCTGGAAGTGAAGTGTGTTATAAAGACCCTGTCGAGAGTGCCCCTCTTCTCTCTTTAAAAAGTGGTGTAATGGTTAAGACATTGGACTGCCACATGACTGACCGCAGTTCGAATCCCAGACCCAGCAGCTTGAAACTCATGCCAGGTGTGCGTGCCCAAGATCTCAATAGAGAATGGAGAAGGGATTGCAATGTGGACATCCCTCCTGCGGGTGATTTCTCGCTTTCTGTCTCTCTGTATCTCTCTGTCTCTCCAGCAAGTGCACACACTCTATAGCAAAAATTTCTTTTTATTTTTTTTTTGGAGAGATTTTCACTGTAGGGCACGTGCGCTCGCCAGACAGACAGAGAGAGACATAGAGACAGAAA